CGCCGCAAGGAGTGACCAGGAAAAATGGTCACAAGCTGGCGGAGGGAAGGTTTAAGTTGGACATCAGGAGGCGCTACTTCACGGTCAGGGCGGCTAGGGTCTGGAACCAGCTTCCAGGTGAGGTGGTGCAGGCTCCTACCCTGGGGGTTTTTAAGAGGAGGTTGGATGACCACCTTGCTGGGGTCGTTTGACCCCTGTGCTCTTCCTGCCATGGCAGGGGGTCAGACTAGATGATCTGCTCAGGTCCCTTCCGACCCTAGAAACTATGAAACTATGTGGTCCTACATAAGTGATTCCCCTGTCTGTAATTCAACTATGCACTTTCCACCCACTTGACAGCCAGTGCCAGACCCTGCTAAAACCTACTCTTAGTCTGTCATCTGGATTTAGAAAAAGCGAACAGCTCTTCCGCTGTCCACTCCTGCACTGGCCAGCCACCATGCATTTGCAACAAATGTGAACAGGGGTAAAGTTTAAACGTCTGCTGCTCTGTCGGACCTGCCAAGTGCTCAGGAGAAGTTGAAAAAGCCTGACAGCCAATTTTTTGTTGGGGAAAATTCCTTCCTAACACCAAGAATAAATATGCATACAGCCAAAATGAAATAGCACTCCTAGATCTGGGAAGGACCGGCAGGGGGGGATGGTGCTCAAGGGCAACCAGCATGGTTTTATTAGGGGCAGGTTCTGTCAGATCAACCTAATTGCCTTCTACGATCAGGTCACAAAATCATTGGACGCAGGTGTCACAGTGGATGCAGTCTTTCTGGACTTCAGGAAGGCCTTTGACACTGTCGCTCACCCCATTCTCATTAAAATGCTAGGTGACTGTGGCACTGATGCCTACACAGTCAGACGGGTCACAAATTGGCTGAGGGATCGGACCCAGAGAGTGGTGGTGGATAGGTCATATTCACCCTGCAGGGATGTGGGCAGTGGGGTCTCCCATGGCTCAGTCCTTGGACCTGCACTGTTTAATCTCTTTATTAGCGACTTGGACGAGGGGGTGAAAAGCCCCCTGTTCAAATTCACTGACGACACCAAGATCTGGGGCAGGGTGGGCATGCTAGAAGGGAAGGGACAGGATACAGCTGGACCTGGACTGGTTACAGGGGTGGGCGAATGAGAACAGGATGGGATTCAATAGTGACAAATGCAGGGTACTGCACTTGGGCAGTAAGAACCAGCAGCATACCTACAGGCTGGGGAACTCCCTTCTTGAAAGCACCGAGGCAGAAAAGGATCTTGGGGTCATTATCGATTCCAAGATGTACATGGGCTGCCAATGTGAGGATGCAGTCAGGAAGGCCAACCCCACCTTGTCGTGCATCCACAGATGCATAACAAGCAGGGCCAAAGAGGTGATCCTCCCCCTCTATGCGGCACTGGTCAGGCCACAGTTGGAGTACTGCATCCAGTTCTGGGCGCCGCACTTCAGGAGAGATGTGAACAACATTGAGAGGGTCCAAAGGAGGGCTACTCGCATGATCTGGGGGCAGCAGGGCAGGCCCTACGAGGAGAGGCTACAGGACCTTAACTTGTTCAGCCTTCATAAGAGAAGGCTGAGGGGGGACCCGGTGGCCATCTGCAAACTTACCAGGGGGGACCAGCATGGAATGGGAGAGACCCTGCTCACCTGTGCACCCCCCAGAGTAACAAGGAATAACGGCCATAAGTTGTTTGAGAGTAGGTTCAGGCTGGACATTAGAAGACACTATGTCACTGTCAGGGCAGCTAGGATCCAGAACCCACTTCCAAGGGAAGCAGTGCTGGCTTCTACTTTGGGGGTCTTTAAGAGGAGGCTTGACAATTACCTAGCTGGGGTTATATGAGCCCAGTATTCTCTCCTGCCCAGGGCAGGGGGTCAGACTTGATGATATACTTAGGTCCCTTCTAACCCTACAACTATGAATCTATGAACTATGCTCAAAGCCAAGATAAGGGGCAGACAGAACAGGAAAACAGTATAAGCTGCACCACACAATGCAGCAGGCAGTTTGAACCTTGTGAAGCTGGGATCAGACAGCCAATTGCACTTTTAGGCTTTCTAATAATTGGTCTATCAATGATGTCAAAGGGGGAAGGGGCTTGTGACCCTAGTAGCACTCCTGAAAGCCAGGGAAAAATCCCTCTGTGCAGCAGAAGGAGGACAGAATATACTTTACCTTATTCATTCATTAGTGTCCATTTTGTTGAGTAAGGCAGACATTCGAATCACTTTTCATTGTTATACAATCAGAAGTAATTAATTATAGCATGTCTATTTTCACTGTGAACCCTGAGGTAGAAATGTGGTTCTATGATATTTCTCAACAGCCGTCTGAACCCATTTGGACTTATAATTGCTCTGAATGAAGAAGGAAAAGCTTCTGGGATGCTCTTCTGGGATGACGGTGATTCTATTGGTAAGTCTGGCCTACCTGCTAGGTAAAGCAGTCAGAGATTCTGCACTCACCAGATGTCTCGCCAGTACAGCTTCACTGACTGGTGGAATTACTCCTGATTTATATTGGCGCGACAGGAAAATAGAGCCCAAATCTAATTCCCCACAGGTGTAAATCACAGTTGGTTTCACTGACGTTGGTAGCATTGTATTAGCGTAACACTCATGTAAGATCAGAAATAACTGCATCAAGTATAAAATCAGTATTTTACTTTCAAGCGCCTATGAAATTACCTTAGATTGATGGAAAACAACTCCAAAGGAGTAGGCAACACTTGAAAGACTTGAACATATGGAAATTTTCAAGAGCAGGTTAGACCAAGACTGGGCAAAATACAGCCTATAGGCCAGATCTGGGCCACTGAGGGTCTTTGCCTGGCCCGCAGTGAGTCCCTTGGTCTCACCCTGCCCAAGTGCGAGGGGCAGCCTGGGCCGTGGGGCATATGGCTACTGGAAGCACAGGAGGGCTGAAGTGGTTTTGAGGCTGGACTCCATTTCATGACAGCCCTGGTGGCAGCAGCTGTGACTCATTTCAGCTGCCACTGCCAGACCCAGCCCTGCTCCCCAGGCACCCCAGCCCATCCGTCCCACACCCACTGCTGTGGGTGGGACCTGTGTGGGCATGGCAGTCAGCTGGGTGGGGTCATGAGCCAGTGGGGAGTGGTGCCCAAGTGCAAGATTGGGGAGCAGGGCTGGGGACACTCTAGGATCTTGGGGCATTGACAGCACAGGTCTTCTGCCCCAGCCCTGCACCGTTACTGCCCCATGATCCCAGGGTCTTCATGGAGACCAGCCAGGACCCACATGGGCAGGTGGACAGCATGGGGCCACAGGTGGGTGGGGAGCTGCGTTTGGGGGTGGTGACAGCATGAGTCCAGGTCCCAGGGGACAGCCATGATCCATTCCCTCCATGCCCCAACCTGTGGAGCCAACACCTCGGCCCCATGCTGTCACCGCCTTGTGCCCCCACCCTGTGATCCTGGCCTTGCCCTCCTGTCCCACTCCTGAACATTGCTCCCCACCCACCTGCAGCCCCATCCCACGTAGATAGTTTTGGTGAGTTGTTGCTGAGCTGATCCAGCTCATGACAGCTCGGCAAAACTCCTTGTATGGTTCATGGGCCCAAATAATTGCCCACCCCTGGGTTTGACAGAGAATTGGCTGGGATGGTTTAGTCAGGGATGCTCCTGCCTTGAGCATAGTTGACCTTGTGAGCTTCTCTCCAGCCCTATGAAAGAACGGTTCACAAGTTGTCTAAGTTTGATCTTATTTGCTGGCTAATACTAAATTCAACTGCATGTATTTCTTGCTAACTATCTTAACCTTTCATTCTTTTCTGTTTTGACAGACTCTGTTGAAAATGAAAACTATTTCTTGGCCAAATATACATTCAGTGAAGTAAGTAGTAACTAGTATTAGGTACAACTGTTACTATTTTATTTATGTCTTTTATACCTCTGGTGTTCAGCCTTTAAAGCTGGTGAGCTTCTTTGATAACAAAGAAAGCTACAGAATAATCAAAGTATGATATTACTTTGTAGTATTTCTGTCATGACCATGACATGTCATAACCCATGCTGTGACCAGGGACCTACTTCATTTGTGGTTTTGCAGATTTCACGGAAACCACAAAATCTGGGATTATCTGCAAAATCAACAACAACAACAAAAAGTAAATAAAATGCTAGCTCCCCTGTGGGGGCCAGCTTTCTTTGCTGCTGGGAGGGGAAGTTGCCAGCTGGCAGGGTGGCACAAAGGGCAGAAGCCATCTTGTCTGCTGCCCCCCTGTGTCTCCTCCCCTGTTGGGGCCTCTCTGCAACTCAGCGCCAAGGGGCAGGGATGCATGAAGGGCACTCAGCAATCAAGATGGTGGCCACTCCCTCATCTCTTCTCCTACCCAGGACCTCTCCACCAATGAGTGCTAAGAAGCAGGGCCTCTCTGCCAATCAGCACTGAGAGGTAGGGCTACCATAAAATGACCACAGAATGAGAATTTTATGCCATGGTCAGCCCACAAAAATTGGCAAATCCCCCCAAGATCTGGCAGACCCCTAGCGCTAACTCTGGTAACCTTCTTCAGTTCTCTCCCCTTTTCTCAGCTGTAGCTACTAGGAATGAGAAAACCATTTTCTGTTACTGTTACTTGCATGCAGAGGCTCCAGTATCTTCTTAACCTTCTTCCCATGCACTTTGTGGTAGGAAATTCAGTGAGTTACATGTTGCCCTCTGTTTAGAGTACTCCCTGTGCTGTCTGATATACTTTTGGAATTATTCCTGTGATTCATATTCCTATAGATGTCTGAGAGTGCCTAAGACCTAAAGTGTGGTTCAGATTTAATTATTTCTATAGAGTTATATGCTACCCTTCCCAAACAAAGGCTCAGGAGGGGCTTAACAATAAAAGCCAAAAAGATAGAAGCAGAATGAAATATTAAAATAATAAGGTCCAACAAAGCGAACTCCAGAAACAAATATTCAAAAGCAATCTGCCCCCTACCTCTGATTGAGGAGTCTTCTCCCAGCCCAACTTAACCTTGATTTCCAACCTGCTTTCAGTATCTCTGCAAAAGGAAACACAAATCTCCTCCCCATGTTCCCTCCTATCTCTACCCATTCCCAGTCTCCTGACTTACACCTACATGGAGTCTTATGCCTTATTGTTCCTCCCAAGCCAATACCTTCCTCTCTCAGAGGGGCTGTGGCTATTCCCCAAACCCACTCATTATCCCCTTCCCCGCGACAAAAACACATTGTCAAATTTTAAAAAATTAGAGCAGTCAAAACCCAAACACCTTTTCCCTGTCTACCCTGAAAAGCAGCACCAAAGGGTGCCCTTGAGCTTCACCATTTGGTGGTACCCCCATTTTGGGTGCCCACCCCAGGGCAGCCTGTAGCTCCTCTTAAAGCCCTCAAGCTGAGGAGGGCCTTCCCTTTGCAGCTCCACTGGCTGTGGCAGTTCAGATACCACATATCAGGGCTGTGCAAAACGGCACCGTTTTGTACGGACTTGTGTTTTGACGGAACAGCGTTTCGTTTTGAATTTCATTTTGATTTGAAATCACTGTTCTGTTTCATTTCATTGAAACATTTTGCTGTTTCAACGTTTCTCCCATAGGCTATAATGGGGAAGCTCAAAACAGCCTATAACTCGTCATTTCTTGCCTGATTCAGATGAAACTTGCAGGAATGATAGCCCCTGCTGAGGGCACAAAGCCTGCCAAGCTTAAGGGAGATAGGTATAGGGGTTTCAGGGAAACTGCAGCTCAAATTCTTGAAAGCAAAACTCATGTCATGTGTATGTCTTAAGCCACAGCAGGATTGAAACTGTAGGCATGCTAGCCCCTGCTGAGGCACCAAAGCCTGCCAAACTCCAAGGAAATAGGTACAGGGGTTTCAGGGAAACTGCACCTCAAGCTGCTGACAAGCAAAACTCATGACATAGGTGACACTGTATGTATAGTGGCACAGCAGGGTGAAAGCTGCAGGCCTGCTAGCCCCTGCTGAGGCACCAAAGCCTGCCAGCTGTCAAGGAGATAGGTGCAGGGGTTCTGGGGCCCTGCACGTCTGGCTCCTGACAGGCAAAACTCATGACATGGGTGGGTGACACTGTGTGTGTGTGTCACTCAACTGACACCAAGGCAGAAAGCAGGGAAGGTCAAACAATGCTGCCTTTTATGTAGTTTTTCCAGCCCTCTCCCAGAGCACTGGGATTGGAAGGGACCTCAGGAAAGGATGACAGTCACTGGCCAGCTACACAGTCAGTAATAAGAGCAGTCCTTCCCCCCACCACCTTCCCCTTTCCTCTTCTTACTTTAGTTTCTGTTTCCCTGTAGGGAAGCCCAGCTTGAGCTTTGAAACTTGAGACGTTTCAAAAATTTTGAAACGTTTCGACTTGCCTCATTTTGTTTTGAGGCTGTTTTGAAGCTCTGTTTCATTTCGATGTCACTGTTTCGAGCTTGAAACGAGTTGAAACAGTGTCGAAATGAAAATGCTGGTGAAATTTTGCAGAGCCCTACCACATACGGCTCTAGAAGCACAGAATGAATGTCACTGTATTTTAAAAAAAGAACAGGTAGAAGAAATCTAGGTTTTAGTTGAGAAAAATACTATAAAAACAAGTCTACAAAAACTAGAAGCTCATACATTATATGATAGTATTAAGGACATTCATGCGAAAAAAACTGATGACTTACGTCAGCAAGTGAAACACTTGTTTTTTATCTGTAATTCCAACTTGTAGGAGGAAATGTTGAAGATATACCAGTTTATTGATGAAGATTTGAATAATTCAGAAGATAGGGGAAAAGGAATAACCTGTACTTGAACCAATGTTCTGGCATGGTTTTTACATTATACATTCCCTAAAAGTTTGCCATCAGTGGTAGTTATTTAGAGGAATGAAATGTCAGTAATTTATATTCTGATGCCGTTTCTGGAATTAATGCCTTTCATGCATGATAGCTGATTAGAATGGGTTGATAGACATTTTTGTGTGTTTGTGTATGGAGTGGTATCAGATATTTTCTAATGTATTACATGTTCAGTATTTAAAGTTCATTATTTATTTTTTTTCTTCTGAATGTTGTGAGAACAATTGCAGTTTTTATCTTGTTGCTTTAAGAAAAATGGCAATTTATTTGTAAAATAGGAAGAAAGATTCCTTTACATTTCTGTATTCTGTATATAGAAAATCACTTTGGGCAGACTAGAGAAGAGACTGTAACCAGATTTATATTAAATTCTAATCTGTGCAAATTTGATTGCTGATTCAGTAGTGCTTCCATTTCTCATTGCTTATGTTTTATTTCTCCCTGTAAATCTTTGTCTGAAATACCCACCTGCATTCCAGTAACCTCTGACGTCAAAATTTTCATTATCAGTATGCTGAAGTGTAAACCATTCATATCTCAGATAGAGAATTACAAATGTACGAAACTTGTGTGACATTCACAGCACATGAAATTCTCAGTCTATGCTGCACATTCCTACATACTTATGGAACTACTCCATAATTTAATTTCATTATAATTATAGGGCAACACTTTAAAATGGAATTATAATAGCACACTTAAAAAAACATACTTTATTTCTGCTTTCAAAATACTTACAGGGCTTGATCCAGCAAATTGGAATTTTGCCTAAGTAAGGACTTTAGTGGAAGACCCTACAATTTATATTTTAATTTTACATTGCAAAAGCTTTAAGTTCAAAGTATTTTGTTCTAGTTTCTGCTTTTATCCCCTCCTATTAAAATAATGTAAGCTAATGTAAGCGAAATGTGCTAACATTTTCATCATACTTAAAGAAGTGATCATTGCAAAGCAATTAATCATTTCCTAAGCAGAGCAATTAATCTTTATGTCTTTAAGAGCTTGGGTGGAAGCAGAGTAGATTTGCACCTTTAGGAGCTTTGATCACATAACTAATGTAGTGATCCCTCTTCATTAATTGTTTGGGAAATTACTGTATTTGGTGATCTAATTTGATTGGTTTATTGCAATGGTTCTCAATCAGGGTGCCATGGTATCCTGGGGTGCCCTGTGATTCACTTAAGCATATCACAGGATGCCACACAATGTTAGCAGTGTTAGGTGTGCAAACTTGATTCACAAGATAAGTCCAGATATTTCAAATATGAATCCACGTTGTTAAAGAACCTGCTGTGGTCCTTCTGAGTTTTTTGCAACAGCAGAATTGCTCTATTGTTTCCCTCAAAAAAAGTTGTAGAATTATGAGCTGGTATTATATGAGGGTTCTTCAAGTCTAAGGAAGGGGGCCTTGAGTCTAAAAGGGTTGAGAACCACTGGTTTAATGATTTCAGAAACTTCCTTGGTATATCTATTTTAAAAATAAGAAGGGCTATGTCTCATGTTATGCTTAGGACATGTTAACTGCACTTAAAATGTGATCTGATTGTCTGTCCCAATCCCAGCACTTCACTAAAGTCATTTCGGGACTGCTAGCAACAGACATCTGACTTGCCCCATGTATCCGACAGCAGGTGATTGGCTCCCTGTGCCTCCTTCCACCTGCCGCCAGTGGCAGAGACCTGACTTGCCCCAATATGCCTGGGACTCTGTTATGGGGCCCTTTGCCATTCAAACTAGCATCAAGCAGGGCTGCATGATCACACCAATTTTATTTTCCATCTTTCTTGCGTCACCAAGATGCTAATCCATGATTGTCTGCCACATGGCATTGGCATCCAGTACAGGATGGATGGTAACTTTTTCAATCTCTCCTTCCTCTGTGCTAAAACCAGAGTTACTTCAGCCTCAATTGTAGAACTTCAGTATGCTGATGATTGTGTTGTTGTTGCATATACTGGGGAGGGCCTACTATGGCCCATAACTGCCTCTTCAGTACTATGGCCCATACCTGAGACTGACTCTTAACATCAGAAAAACAAAATTTGCTTCACCAGCCTGCTCCAAGCACCCCCTGCCTCCCCCCCAGGCAAAGATCCTCATTGCTGGACAGGAGATGGAGAATGTTGAACACTTTGCATACCTCGGCAGCCATCTCTCAAAGAAGGCCAACATCAACAGAGAGATTCAGTACAGGATCTGATGTGCTAGCTTTGTCTTCAGAAGACTGAATCATTGTGTGTTCAGTGATCATGACTATTTGCCTGAATTTGATGCAAGCAGGTGCAACTACCTAATGACCAACCATGACACAGCCATTCAATAGCAAAAAGCTATAGAGGTAAATGATAAGTAAAGCAAACAAGCTGTTAAGCAAGTCTCACTATCCATCAGGTCTAGGAGTCTAGCAGGATCAATGGGCATCTGGCCAGGAATGTTGCTGTCTTCCACTGGTTCAGGAACTTTTCAGAGGAGGAGCAGCCCCCAACAGCCAATACCCATTATTTATACATGGCTGCTAAACATAATCTTAATAGTCTAATAAATGATCCCTGATAGGTTTTATTTAAATGTCATTGGTGATGTGTAGACAGTATGAGGGGTGTGTGTGTACAACACTTTAAAGCCATCTAAATGCTTTTGCACCACTTTAATGGTGTCAGTGTTTGCATGCCTTGGCAGCATATTATGCATTAATTCCAGCCACTGTAGGAAATTGGGTGGCGTAATGCGCCTTAAATAACTTGGGGTGCAGCAAACTAAAACTCCTCCCTCCCCTCCCCCGCAGCCAGGGACCACTCTGCTCGCCAGCAGCTCACCCTCCCCTCCCCGCCAGAGAGGTAGGTAAGTTAGTGGGGTGTGTGCATGACATGGGGGTTTAATCATCCCTAAATTGAAGTGGTATTTTTTAAAACCCACCACTTCAATATAGGGCCCTCTGTTTTGTCTACACATGCTCTCGTTTTGTCTACACATGCCCTTTGTTTCACTGGCAGACAAGGCTCTTTGGGTAAATCTGATATATTTTATTAAACCAACTCATATACTTGGAAAAATTCTTCTTAGCTAGCTTTTGGGCTTAAATACCCTTCATCAGGCTGAGGAAGCATCTGCAGTTGGTGTGTGCTCTTTGTTTCACTAAAACTTCCAGAACTAAATTAAATTAGACTTCTTATGGGCCAAGAAAGTGCCAGTTAGTTAAAACTTAGATCTCTGAGAAAGTAACAGGGCAATAGGGAAGTCCTCTTATCTCCTTTCTTCCCATGGTAAAATGCTGTTCTAGCCCTGGCTAACAAGGCTGCCTTGTTATTGATTGTGTACAATTAGACAGATGGACAGTTTTTTTTTTCTGTTGATCAAGCCAGTCACAGCATCTGCAAATGCTCACATTATGGTATGTCACTCCAGGACAGGCTTCAGGCCTGTTATTGCCGCTTAGCCATAGGCCCTTTGAAAATGGCCAGGCCTGGCTGCAACACACCCAGGGCTCATGTCATATACACCTGTGTACCGCCTACAACATCAGGACTCAAACAAAACTCCTACTATATAAGGCTGTGGTAATTCCAACTCTTCTCTATGGCGGTGAACCTAGGGTGACCTACAAGGACCACCTGAAAAGCCTGGAACACTGTCATCAGTGCTGCCTCTGGAAGATCCTTGGCATAAAATGGGAAGATTGTGGCTGATGCTAACTCCACCAGTATGAAAGCATTGATTATTTAATATCAGTTGCGGTGGACAGGGCATTGTGTGCTTCTTGTCTGATGTACATATACTAAAACAACTGTTATACTCCCAACTCAGCCAAGGACAAAGGACAGGAGGAGGCCAGAGGAAATGCTTCGAGGGCACCCTCAAGGTGAACATTAAGAAGTGTGGCATTGACACCATAAACTGGAAAAAACTATCTCAGGACAGGGCTACATGGCAGTGCTTTGTGAGAGAAGGCACATCTTACGGTGAGTAAAATCATCTTGCCTTGGAGGCAGAAAAATGACAAATGGAAGGAAAGAAAACAAGACTGAGAAATCTGTGATCTGACCTTCCCTTTAACCACCACCTGTGACATATGCCAGAGGGTCTGCAGCTCTGGGATCTGCCTTCTTAGCTATCAAGGGAATCATCTACAACCCTTTACTTGACTCGTGGGACTCATCATCCTTGACCATGAGGAATCGCTGTTGATGACAAGTGTACATAGCTGCTTCAACTTCTATAGCATCTATTCCACTTATTTTAATGTATCTACATATATCCATCTCTACATGGTGCAGGTATTGCACAATTAGCTGATTAATTGTGCAATTAACTGAAACCAGTTACACATGCAAAGTAGCTATCACACCATAAAAAGGTCCAACAAGCTATAAAGTTAGACCTTGAAAATGCATACTAACTTTGTAGCTGGTTGCTATCCAGCTTTAATTTGCACAGGAAGCAAGGTGTCCCCTGCAGCTGGGAGCCCTGTCAGCTGACTGGGCTCTCAGCCTCAGGAGTGCACCTTGCCTAGCCAGGGCTGGGAGTCCTACAACTGAGGGGACTCTCAGCCCTAGCAGCTGCTGAATGTGGAACTCAGCCATGTCCCATGGCTTCTGGGACCCAGAGCCCCACACCTGCAGGTGCTGTGTCCTGGCAGCAAACCTCCCAGTGCCAGGACCAAGAGAGTCCTGGTAGCCATGTGACACAGCTGCGATCTCATAGCCCTGGGGGTCAGTTGAGGGGCTCCTGGCTGCCAGAGTTTGCTTCTTGCTGGTGATGGGGGGCAGAACTTGGAATCGGGCTCCCCCTGCACTGGCAATAAGATTCAGTGAGATCTAATGCGTGAATCCACAGTCATGCCCCTTGCCATGCAAGTGTGGCATGGCAGGAGGTGCAATTTTGTGGATTGTGCATTAGATTGCACTGCGCTTTACCTGTATGTGTAGAGTAGCCCTAAGTCTACCTATATTGCTTCTAGTACTACACCTACTACTGTTATATCTAAGACTCAATATTGCATTGGTTAGGCAAATAAAAGGAAAAGGTTGAGGAGATTCTAAGCATTTGTTGTAAACATTCATTTTGTTTCTTGCTTTGCTGGGTTTTAACAGCGTGCAAAATCCTATCCTGTATGAAAATTAAGAGGTCTATTATGCCTGTTCTGTGTTATAAAGTCTTTTCTATCTTTATTCCTTTTGATGTTTTAATATCTATATAAAGCTTTCTGCTTGGCAAATAGTAGTATAAATATTCACTGAATATTTCCCAAAGACTCTCTACAAATTTAAATTGTGACTTCTGAATTATTATAGGGCCAACTGAGGACAACAATTGTTAAAAATGGCTACCGGGCAGTTGATTCTTTGACTTACAACAAGCTTCAGATTCTTGGTGTGACTTCAAGACCTAACACTATTGTTCTCAATGGAAAAGTCATCTGTAATGAGAACTTACAGTATCAGGCTAATGGGGTAAGTGTTTTTCTGAAGAATTATTAAAAATCTTATGTATACACGTATTTGACCCAAATTTAAAGAGGAGAGTCAATGATAATGCTAATCATTTTCAGTTCATGCCCTGAATCTTTCTAAATGTGACTGAAAATCAGATTTTTGATATAGCAGTGTCTGAGGATAAAATTGGAAGAAGAAAAAGTCACAATCATAAGAATGGAAGACTTCCCAGTTTCAGGTCCCTTCCAGCCCCTAATGACTATGAAACTATGTTCCAGGAAAATGTATATTTTCTTCTTAGACACATGACACCTCTCACTTACTTGATATCTGCTGCTTATACAAGTTAATGCTTTCATGTTTATGAAGTGGTGATAAAATAACAAAAGATTCTTTAGGGTGACACGTTAGCTGCTACTCTTTTGTTTAATGTTTAGTCAACAACCTGGGAAAACCTGCCAGGGTATTATTTAGCAATAACTAAAAAGAATTTCTGGAGTAGGCACATGTCAGATATTTTATGAAAAATGAGTGCACAGAATATCCAATAAAAATGGATATAGTTCATTTTAGTGAATGCTTCCATTTCTTCGCAAGAAAGATTTGTAGTTGTTCAAAATGTGTTTGTGTTTATCAGGGGACTTATATATCAGTGATAGCAATAGCTACAACTTCAGAACTCTAGTCTGGTAAACTAATGTGGTCCCATTCATGTGTCTCAGGTCTCTAATGGTGTTACAGGGCTGAAAGAGCCTATATAGTAGAAGAAGAAGGAATCTTCCATTAGTTCACAAATCACAGATAAGGGCTATATCTAATAGCTGAAGCAGCCTCTGTTGTTTCCCCTTGTTGCTGATATGGGGAATGACAGGAGGATCAGTACTGTCATAGCTCTTCTCACCCTGATGCTCCAACACAAAACACCCCACAGAGTTAGGCTTTGTGTGGGAAGCGTGGTACACAACTCTTTCCCACAGTTCTGCTTGTAGACAGCCCTCCGTGTTAGTGGGGATAAGATTAAGAAGTGTCTTTAAGGTCTCATTAATATTTGATTTAAGACAGAGAGCCAGAGGAACAAGCAGTGGCTATCATTTTTGCTTTGTTATGCTATTTACTTGGTTTACTAATGTGAGTTCACACAGAATTAAAGTCAATACTCATTACATGCAATTATTTCTAATGCTTTCCTTACTGAAGAAAGCTGTTGAAAAAAAAAGAAAATTTAAAAGAATAAATTCTGCCGTAAGAAACATGGAAAACTCACTTTTAGAAGGAAACATCATAAATAACTATAATTGAAACCTCCTCCAAGGAAGTAATTTTTAACAGCAGAACTGCTTCTAAGCAAGCTGAAAGCAATACAAACATAATAGGAAAAGGACAAAAACTCCACAGAGGTTTACTTAGAAGGAAGCAACCAAGAAATCTCATATGATAGCAGCATGCAAACAGGTGAAAATATAAAATGATCAGCAACAAAGATGGGAAAAGCTGGTCACAAATCTACTATTTTATTTTGATTTACACACAAAAATAAACAAGAATACATCCATCCAGCTGTCACAGGGCACTAAGGTGTCCTGCTCCTTTTAAGGACTGGAACTGCTAGGAAGAGAGCCCTAGCAGTCAGTTGGGAGCCCTGGCTGCTGGTTACCAGGACAGCCAGAATGAGTTAGTTGGCCCACACCTGCCAGCGGTCAGCTAACCGGAAGGGGCAGGGCCTGGCTCATATATAAACCCCAGGGGTAAGGCCAGGAAGGCAGTTCCCTGCTAGCAACTAGAGGGGAAGGAGCCTCCAGGGAGGAAGTGCCTAGTGATGCTGCAAGTGCCTGATATGCTGCACCTAGGGCTAAGGGGGCTCCATGAGCTTCACAGGTACCCTTGCCTACTAGACACTTAGTGCCGGGATGAAATCTGATTCTCTTAAAGGGTCAGAGCACACCCTGATCTTTTGTATTATGTTATAGCCCAAGGGCTTATGTTTTGTTTGCTGTTGTATACTACCGGTGGTTTGGGTGAGGCTATTTGGGGAAGGAGGAGGCCTCACTGGGGGCCCACTGCAGTGTGGGGACCCTGGCGCCAGTGAGGGCATGGCATTTTGGGGATGCACAGACCCTGGCGCCAGCGAGGGCATGGCACGAGGGGTGCAGAGACAGGGCTGCAGAGAGCCCAGGGGCCAGTGAGGCGCAGACAGGGCGGCGGAGAGCCCAGAGATGACAAGGGGGACAAATCACAGCAAGTCCTAGACTGGACAATGTCAATACCATCTGTGAGGCTTGGGGCATGGTGAAGGGGTGGTTGGAGCCACACATATAGCCCATACGGCTGGGATGCCCCGGGACATCTATTTTGAAACGGGACCCACAAGGGGTCCAGGACGCACAGGGTTCAGGGAAGTCCATCAGGACCGTGCCCAAGTAGGCTTAAAGGCAGCCTCCCTACTCATTACAATTACAGCAAGATGTAGCGGGCGAGAATAGAGGGTGCCCAGCGAGGCGGGCTGTATTGGCACAGTCGAGGGGCCCTAGGGGTAACACGGCCATCCTTGAGGACCCCATCCCATGACACCAGCTCACATTTCTGCTCCTGAACAACTACTAAAAAAAGAAAGAATGCAAGGAGTAACCATTTAGTCTCGTATGATAGCAAAGCCTTAATTAGTCAATAATTTAAAGATACCCATAGATCCCATCTAACTTTAGCAGCCATTGCTTTCTGAAAGTCCTAGTGGTATGTTCAATTTATTGTAATATTATGAGCACCATTTTTTTTAGAGCAGTTTTTGGCAAGTATGCCACAAATTAACACCACGCCCTCCTCAAGTGCTACCCCAATTCTTGATCTGCTGCTTTGCTTTTTGCTTCCTACTCTGTACTTCCTGCCAGGTCTCCTCATCTGCTTCCTGCCCTGTGTTCCCTGCCTGATCTCCTGCTCTGCTTTCTGCCCTATCGGCTGCTGTGCTGCCTCTGTCCCCTTCCTGATCTGCTGCCCTGTCCTTTCCCTGATCTGCTGGGTGCCATGCAGAGAGGCTGCCCACGCTGTTTAAAGCACTCATGTAGCAGGTTGGCCAGAGATGCTGTAGAAAATGCCTAAGGCACTGGATTCACAAAAGGACTGAAGTGCCTTAGCACTAATTAACCGTTAGGTGCCCAGTCCCTGTAGAAATATCCGTAGAACCAACACACTGAGCGGAGACCTACCTCATTAGTCAATAGGCAAATGTGGAGGACAGGGGTATATCATTAATCATACCTTTCTCTGGGGTGTAGGTGTCTTATTCAACCCTAATGGGAAGAGCCTCCCACTATTTGAGACTCACAACCTGGAGCCATCTCCTGAAATCAGGCATTTATGCCGCATCTTTCAGAAACAAAGGAGAGTGAAGGCTTTCTTTTAAAGGAGGTGATAATGACTCTAGGCCTTATCCAGGATACGGGAGTTCAGTCCCATCCTCTGGCTGCATGTGTTCAAAACCACAGCTCCCAACCTGGCCTATGGCTTATCCACTAGGTTTATATGCTGTTTTGGAGTGGCTGTAATTTCTTCCTCTTGACGCTGTGCTACTTTGCATGGCAAATTGAAGATTCATTGGATCAAAAAAAAAAAAAAGAGCAAGCAACAGTGAGCCAGTGAGCATGGCTGTATCATTCTTTGACTGGGAACTTGTCTGTGCAGAACAAATCCTGGGTTCCTGTCCCTGCTCCAAGGATTGTTTCTATATTTTACCAATGACTGTTTAATGTAAAATATAGAAGCAGTCATTGGGACAGGGACTGGAACTTAGGTCTCCCCTCCCCATGCTTAGTGTCCTAATCACAAAGCTAAGGAATTGTGCTGTCTTGTATGCTTTCTCTCTGGCATTATGATTTGTTAAATATGTTATGCAACATGGCACAGCTTCAACAGAAGGGACCAAGAGTGGCCTAATTCCAAAATAGCCTGCTGCCTGGTGGTGGGAGGATTTGTTTGTAGATAAAAATTTGCATTCTCTCAGTTACACTCTTACAGGTTTTGTTTTAAAAGGATTAATCATCAAGTTCTGTATCTCAGGAATCTCACATAATTGGCCTGTGATAGTAGCTGTAGGTGCTAATTTATATTGGACCCATCCCTGTATTTGAGAAGGGGGCAGAAATGAGCCTTTTGTAATAATGCAAGATGGCTTTTTATTGGTCTGGTGCTGAAACAGATCTGCCCTTGCTGACTGATTAAACATGTTTTACATGTTCTCTTGCATATTAAGTACACATGTTGGTGCAACATATGCTGTCATATCTTTATGTACATAAAGACTGGCTACCATATGTAGCCAGTATTGTTGGTTAACCATACCAAAAAATTATAAATGTTGAAATGCTCAAAAGGCAGTTATTCTGAGGCTCCAGGACTTGCCTCAAAATTCACGCCTTCCTGAAAAACTGTGCTATAAGATTGCATCTCTCATTTAAAATACAAAACCAAAAACTTCTAGCTCCAATAGTTGCAGTGAGAATCTTGAAAATTAGACCCACATGTAAATTAATGCAGCACTGTCTACTTACGTTTGAGGAATGCATGAAAAAAACAGCTAAAAGGGGTGAGCTACCCCCATGCATCTTAATAGGTTGTTGATTCTGAAAGCTAAAGATGAGAATTTGTCACATACTAGAAAAGGAATATAAGGAAAAACACAGAATACATGAAGTATTAGTATTGAATTAACAATGGGACCTCTGCTGATCATATCTGTAATTTCCTATTTAATTAATCTTATTAATTTATCTGAAGCTGTTAAACAATTTTGTAGAAGTGCTGATGAATCTAGGGACCTTGTCAGAGAATTAGGCCCAATTTGGCATTAAGTAGGTGAGGTGTTGGCTAAAGGCTTAGGTTAAAGTTGCTGTGATCTAAACTCAGGCTTGCTGTCTTGTTAACAGTTGAAACTTATCTTTAATATTAATTTAGTATCTATTGATTAATTTTGTGTGCTTATTTCTACAGAAACTCACTTTACAGATTTCTGCACTGCTTAGTCAAGAACTGAACATTATACTTCAATACAACATTTAGTAAACAGATTAGTGATTTAACATCACTGGTTCCCATATTTTGATTTTGATGTTGTCATATCCTTGATGTCTTAATTTTCTCCTGCATATGAATGCGCATGAGTATATAAATAATCAGTTCATATTTTTAATGCAACAGTTCTTCAAATAAAGAAATGTTACGATCGTGTCCGTGAGAATCACTATGTTATGAAAACTATTGTATATCCAGAAGCAGAAAAAAATTACTCCAAAAAAAATCCATAAACTTTGGTAGTCTAATCTTGCCCTATTTTAGTCAATTTGATTGTTATTGTTTATTTTAAAAGGAGCATAACATGGAATTTTTCTCTCCATTAAAACATAAAGATGTGGCAAAAAATGTTTTCTAAATTTTAACAGTTAAAAGAAGGATAAAATGGAATCCTGTGACAATTGAGAAAGTGAGGCACAAGGCTGTTGTCAGCAGCGGAAATAGCTAGTCACAAATCTTGGCCTATAAAAGTTTTCATGTTGCTGTCTTTCTAGACCATACTTATAGATGTAGGATCAGTTTCTGCCTCTTATGCTTTTCTCTATTGTACATGTTGGCACAAACACACTTAACCAGTTACCTACAAATTCTGTCCCCAAGACTCATTGCTGGGATTAGGAAATAGTCACCAATTCCAGGAACCACAACTGTGGCATGAGGCCAGTTTTGACTCCCTTCCTATACTGCTGAGTTGCAGAGTGCTGCCTAGATGCTGAGGGTTACCCAAGGTACACAGAGATAACTTCAGGAATCTCATTTTGGGATGATGGTATCGCTGTTTTTTAGCTTCAGAGTGAAACAATTGTGATGGCAATCCATGGAATTTTCCATACTGGGGAATAGAGCTGTGCAAAACAGCACCATTTTGTTTCAACTTCTGTTTTGCTGTTTTGACGGGACAGTGTTTCATTTAGAGATTCATTTAGTTTTGAAAGCACTGTTCCATTTGGTTTCATCAAAACTGTTTTGCTTTTTTGACGTTTCACCCATAGGCTATAATGGGGAAGCACAAAACTGCCTATAACTTTGTCATTTCTTGCCTGATTGGGATGAAACATGCAGGGATGGTAGCCCCTGCTGAGGCCACAAAGCCTGCCAAGTTTCAAGGAGATAGATGCAGGGGTTTCTGGGATCACAGTCACTGGCCAGCTACATATGTCAATATGAGAGCAGTCCTTCCCTCCCCTTCCCCCTCCCTCCCCTCACTTTCTGTTTCCCTGCAAGCAAGCAAAGCTTTGAAACATTTCATTCTGAGGCTGTTTCAAGACCTTTTTGCTTTGTTTTGATTTTGCTGTTTTGAGCTCCAAATGAGTTGAAACAGTGTCAAAATGAAATACCTGGTGAAATTTTGCACAACCCTACTGGGGAACCCCTCACAATGTACAAAAATGCCATACCACAGAAGGTGGTATAACCACAAAAGGAGTCAGAACTTTTGTGGACTTTTAACCAAAGTAGCTGAGAATTACCCTAATTCAGCCTGGCCCCTGGGGAAGTGTGAAAGGTTCCTTGAGGCTGTGGCAATCAACAGGGGAAGTGACAATTGTGAGAGCAGCAATAGGTAGAAATGGAGACAATCTGTGGGGTCAGAAGATGGCAGTGGTGGCTGTAGGCATGCTGGGAGAGCCCTTGAAGTAGAAAAGAAAGAGCAGAGGAAGGAGAAGGAGAGGAATCCCAGCCTGCAGCCTACTCTCCCCTGCAGAAAGACCTGCAATGTCTATGGACAGATCTGTGGCTGAAGGATTGGATTCTTAAATTACTTCAAGACCCATCAGTGAGTCATGGTAGAGATCATCCTTGAATAAAAGGATTGTCAACAACAAGGGCATAAACCACCCAAATTTGAGAAACACAGCTCTAAACAGACTGCCCAAGGTCCATCTAGCATCTCTGACAGCAGTAAGTAGAGGATGCTTAAGAGTAGAGCTGTCCAATTTCTTGGCAGCCAGGGGCCATGTACCACATGGACCACAGACTGGGGGACCATATGTCATTCAGGTCACTTGCCATGTGGGTGGCCCACCTTTCTACCATTCAGGATGCCGGAGTCTCCCTGCCAGGTGCTCAGCCTCACTCTGCTCCCAGCCTTCACCCCCAGCCTTATCCCGCTCCCAGCCTTCACCCCCAGCCTTATCCCACTCCCAGCCGGGTCCACCACATGGGCAGCTCCCCTGTCTGCTGTTGCATGCCATGCTGGCAGCCTGGCTCCCCTGCTGCACACATCCCACAGTCAGCTCCCTTCTCTGTCACTGTGCACAGTTTACCCCACCACATGCACAGCACAAGCAGTCCAGCTTGCTTCACTGTGCTGCCCTGCCTGCTCGATTTGGGGCAGGAAGTGGAAGCTAGGGAAGAAGAGGGAGCTTGGAGCCCCCAGCCACCTCTCCCTCAAAAACAATGTTAGCTTTTTGCAGACCACATGCTAGTTGGACAGCCCTGCTTTAGAGGAAGAGTATAAGAAACAGGGCAAATACTTTTGTTACCAAGGGGTAACAAGTGTATCTTTGTGATAGGGAGCCGACTCCCAGTCCCTGTTATGAGCTGGATCCCAGACATGGCTGGGCTTGCCTCTTTTCTTACCCAGAACCACACCAAAACCCTGCTGCTACCGGCAGAGTCACCCAGAAGCAGTGGGGAGCTGGCCTCTCTACCAGGGGCAAGCAGACTGCTGAGGGCATCCAGATCCCCACCTGACCCAGTTTGGGAGGTCATGTCAGGTCTCTGTTGCTTTAAACAGCCATTTGGGAGGGAACCCAGAACCAGGGCTTGATTAACATATAAGCAAACTAAAGACATGCCTGGGGTCCTGAGCCGGGGGGGGGGGGCAGTCCTTCCCTCTATGATGGCAGTACAAATGGCTCCATCTGCCTTGCCTTGCCTTGCCTTCCCCTCCCCTCCTCTCTGTGAGCCTCACTGCTATGGTAGATGCTTCCTAGCAGTGGTTCTGAGCTCTGCTCCCTGCGGGCAGCAACACCAGAGTAGGGAGGAGAGGTCTTGACTGGCCTGGGGCCCACAAGTTTGTTTGCCTAGGGCCCACTAAAGGGTTAATCTGCCCCTATCCTGAATTGCCAGAAAGCCCCAGTTTCTGGCAATCTCCAGCTGCTGACAACCATTTGATATGGAACCAGAGATAATTGGACTCCACGAGATCTGGTGGATTTACAAGGAAAAGGGCTGAAGCCCATAGACACCAGGAGAGGGGAATGAGAGCACAGTCTCCAAGAAGGGAGCAGAGCCTGTTTGTGCAGAGGCACAGAAAAAGAGATTAGGAACAGCACAAACCTGGGTATGAGCCCAGGCAGTCTTTAAGACTGAAGCAAGCCAGTGAAGGATAACCAGTGGAAGAGACTCAAACACATGACACCCCAGTGTTGGACATGTGGGAAGATTGTGTGTAGGTACAAGCCACAAAGGTCTCTCTAGAGGACCTGGCCATGGGATGGCTAAGCCAGTAATGGTGGGGCTGAGAAACCATGGATGAGCTATGGCTAAGAGACATACATACGAGAAAATTGACAAGTTCCAAGAAAGGGAACACAGAGAAAACCAGAGACATGAATTAAGAGAGATTCTACCCTGAAGAGCTTGCAGCGGCAAAAGGCCTGAGGCAAAGGTGCATGACCAACCAAGCTGACTGTCAAGTGGCCCGGACATTGTGGGAAGATGATAGGTCCACCAGACAGGTGTGGTAAGGGTAGGGTGTGGGAGAGGTGGAGCCCTGAGAAGAGGACTTATCTCCTTTGCTGAGAAAGTGAAGTTCCCCAGTTTGTTTCACCAGTTAGCTTCCTTTTATTTTGTTTCCATCAAGGCATGGCAGATGAGTACAAGGAAGGGGGCAGCGACTTGGGAAAAGACATGCAGATACATTGCACCCACTGACAATCTTTGTTTCAATATTTTAAATATTTGCACTTCTAAAATGAAATATATTTAAGTGTGAGTAGTGGTTCTTTGCATCTGCAAGTTTCTCCTTGGTGACCCTTTATATTACTGAAGCCACTGCATGTTTTCATAATTGTGAAAGGTTGTGATTGATGGTGTTGAGAAGCTATCCTTTTTATAGTAAATACAGCTCACAGGAACTGTTTTTATCCTGAGACCATTTTAACTGTGCTGGTATAACACTTGCATCCTAATGACCCAGGAACAGCAAACAAACAAAAAAAATCCCACCTCTGGTAGAAGCAATATATCATTTCCTCCTATAAAATTAATTCTCCTTTCCAAATTCAGAAATGTTAGGATAACTCTATAACATATACAAACATTTTCTTGCCTGGAAAACCTCTAATTCTAACATTGATCTGTTTCTTTTATTTCACCTTGATATAGAGGGACAAAAGAGGATTCACTGCATTGTGGCATATTTTCCCCCTGTTGAATCAAATGGAGCTGTAAGTCAATAGTTACTTCTTTCATTGCAGTCTATAATATGTTCCTGCTCAGTTTGCATATCCTCCCTCTCATGCTGATTCAGATTTAACAATATTAATTTCAGTTGCATTAATGAGACATGTATATGGGTCTCTCAGTAAACCAGCAGAACCTAATGTTCTGAAGGGATTTAAGTACGTTTGTAGCTACCAAAGCATGAGAGCCAAATGGATTCCTTAATAGATTCTTTAATTGCACATGTTGCCAGAACTGAGCTTATGGGCTTCAAGTTGCATAAGTTCAAACTTAAAAAAAAATTTCACTCCAGGTAAACTGAGGCACTGTTACTAAGCTTTTTTCATTCCAGTTTATCCAGATAACAAATCCTGAATAAAAGGATGGAATCTTTAGATGGTGGATGAAATTTAGGTTACACAAGAGAATGAATTACTTTCTCATGATGCCCATGATGCTTCTATATGTCCTATTCAAGAAGGCACTTAAACTCTTGTGTACCTTTAAGCACTTGAGTACATGTTTAGTAGTTACCATGGGTAGAACCTAAGCAACACATGAATTGTTGTGGAGTATAAAGGCTTACTATACTGGGGCCAGAACCAGGGTAACAAAGAAACATGTGAGCATTAAGGCAGGGATCAGCAACATTTTTAGGCTGTGGCCCAGGTTGACCCAGTTTGGGCCAGAGGTGATCTGGTACAGAGTAGGCAGGTGCTAGGACCCAGTAACTGCCACCACTTTTCCCAGCAGCTGCACAGGGAAAATG